AGTGAACCACACTGGAAATGTTGAACTGAACCTTAAATTACATCTAACAAACGCCCTATATGTTCCCAGTTTCAAGTTTAATCTTCTGTCAGTACCAAAGATCACCCAATCAGCTAGCCTAAAGTTAACTTTCTATCCTGATTTTTGTTTATTGCAGGACCTGCAGAATGAAAAGGTTTTGGCAATTGGCAAGCTTGTAGGGAAGTTATATTTGTTAGATAAGTCTAGTTTCATTTTCAAAGAAAATAGAAGAAGTGATAAACTAATAGCTCAACCCAAACTTCCAAAATGTACTTCTTCATGTAATCAGATATTTGATGTCAATAAAATTTCTGATTCCTTATACACTGTTCGATTTCTTGAGTGGCATAACAAACTTTGGCATATATCATACCATACAACGCAATACTTAGATTTCATTAAGCATCTTCCAAAGAAATCAGATTTACTCAAAGACTGTGAGGTATGTCATAAGGCTAAACAACAGAGAAGCCCTTTTCCTATTAGTACCATTCATACACGAGCTATTTTTGACCTTATCTATGTTGATCTTTGAGGGCCCTATAGACAGTTTTCACTCACTGCCACTCCTTACATGCTTACAATAGTTGATGATTATAGTCGATCTACTTGGACTTTCCTACTCGTGCATAAGATACAAGTTGCTAAAACCTTGGATAATTTCTTTAGAATGCTTGAAACACAATTCAATAAGAGGGTGAAATGCATAAGAACTGATAATGGGACTGAATTTCTTAGTCATGAATGCCAAAATATTTTTCAAATGTTTGGAATCCTCCACCATAGAACTTGTGTCTATACACATTAACAAAATGGGGTGCTAGAGTGAAAACACAAACATTTGCTTCAAATAGCCAGATCTTTAATGTTCTAAACTTCTTTGCCAAAAAAATTCTGGACCTTTTCCTTGTTGATGGCCACCTTCATCATAAATAGACTTCCCAACCAGATTCTACATTGGCAAACAACTTTTGAGATATTGTTTGGCTACAATCCAGATTATTTCTTGTTTAAAACCTTTGGCTCTTTTTGTTATTTTGCAAATACCAAACCACACAAAGCCAAATTTGAATCAAGATCCCATAAATGTGTTTTTCTTGGGTACAATGCAGGTCAAAAGGGGTTCAAAGTGTTTGCTATTGACACTAAACAAATACATGTCTCCAGGGATATTGAATTTTTTGAATCCATTTTTCCTTTTAAAAATGTTCATTCTGATGAATCTAATCCCTCATTACCTCTCTTTCATACCTCTGATGATGATCAAGACCTAGCTAATTCCAACAAATGGGTTGTTCCAGATCCACCACATGCTTTACCCCTTGCAAAAACAAACCAAGAGCCTCCATTTTACCCTGATATAACCTCACACTCTAGTCCCTTCATATAGGTTCCTTTCTTCGAAAATCAACTCACATATGAAATCTGTTCTGAGCCTCTGCCTCATCCTGCTTCATCTATTCCAGTTGTTAGACACAGTACGAGAACAAAGTCTTAACCATCCTGGCTACAAGACTGTGTCACAAATGTTACTACCACGCAAGATTTGCCTATTACTGATGCTGCTTCCTACTGCACAAAGGTCTCTCCCACTCATACTGGGTATACTCCACCTACCTTTCCCTTTACTATTTTTCCACAGCTTAACTCTTCATATAGTGCATTTCTGGCAAATGTATCAATTGCACAGGAACCTAATTCATATAGTCAAGCCAGCAAAAGTGATTAATGGACTAAAGCTATGCAACAAGACTTGATGCACTTGAGAAAAATTAGACTTGGGAATTGACCACTCTTCCGCCTAACAATCAAGCAATTGGTTCACGATGGGTCTACAAAATTAAATTTTATGCTGATGATACAGTGGATAGATACAAGGGTAGGCTTGTTGCAAAGGGGTACCATCAAATGCTAGGGATTGACTATTTTGGCGGGCTTCTCACCTGTGGCTAAGCTTGTCAAAGTAAGAATTTTTCTTGTAATTGTGGCTGGAAAAGGTTGGCCTATTCGCTAATTGGATATTAACAATGCCTTCCTTCATGGTTACTTGGATGAAGAAGTTTATATGCAGCCACCTAAGGGTTATACCAAGACTTTACCTAGCCAAGTTTGTAAACTCAAACGCAGTTTATATGGCTTAAAGCAAGCCTCCCGGCAATGGAATACTGAGTTATGTATTAAACTTCAGAGCTTTGGCTTCCATCAATCAGCTCATGATCATTCTTTGTTTACTAAACATTTCTCCCAGAGGGCTCTTTTCCTACTGGTCTATGTTGATGATGTCCTTATCACAGGTTCACACGCAGGGGATATTATTGATACTAAGACTTTCTTACACCGTGCCTTCACCATCAAAGATTTGGGCTGTGCAAAATACTTCTTAGGATTGGAAATTGCACGTAATGCAGATGGAATGTATATTAATAAAAGGAACCATGTCATTGATCTCATTCAAGATGCAGGTCTCATTGGAGCCAAATCAGTTCCGGTTCCTATACCAAAGGGCACGAAGTTAATGGCACTAGAAGATTCCTTGCTACCTGATCCTGATAGGTACAGAAGATTGGTTGGGAGACTCCTTTATCTAAACTTAACCAGACCTGACATCACCTATGGGGTTCAGCAATTGAGCCAATTCGTTCATGTTCCCTATCAAGTCCATTGGGACACTGCCCTACTTCTCCATAAGTATCTCAAAGGGTGTCCTTCCAAAGGCCTCTTTTTCCTTGCCAAGAATTCTTTTCATTTAGAAGCATACTCTGATGCGGATTGGGGCTCCTGTCTTGATATGCGAAAATCACTACCAGGTTTTTGTATTTTTTTGGGACCATCATTGATATCTTGGAAAACAAAAAAACAAACCACTATTTCCCGCTCTTCAGCTGAGGCAGAATATCGGAGTATGGGCAGCACTTTTTGTGAGTTACAGTGGATTTCTTATATCCTCAATGATCTTCACATTCCTCTGTTGACACCTATTCCATTGTGGTGTGATAACAAGGCTGCTTTACACATTACAGCTAATCCGATTTTTCACGAACGAATCAAACATCTGGATATTGATTGTCATGTCGTAAGGAATCAGTTTAAGGCTGGATTTGTCTTACCACAATTTGTTCCGTCTTGCCTTCAGCTTGCGTACTTGTTTACCAAACCTCTTGCTCCTCCTCAATTTGCTCCTCTTCTCTCCAAGTTGGAATTGTGAGATTTACACCAATTCCAACTTGATGGGGGAGGAGGGGATGAAAGAATAATAGAACAATATCAGTTGGAAGATTGAAAAATACCAGCAAATCTGTTGAAAGGAATGGACTTACCTGCTATAGAAAGAATATTACCAGAAATAGCCTTGAATTCGTGTTTTGCTCATTACGTTTTTTGCTTCCCTTTATTTCATATTTCTGTTAGTACGATTTCTTGCATTGTTGCATTGTCAGCCTTCTATTGGACCATGCTTTCAGCTGGCGTCTATATATGTTGCAATTGTATTCCATTTTCATTTCAATAAATTGAATCAATAAAATCAGTTTCCCTAAATATAATTTCAACTGCCTTTGTTCAATTGTCAACTAATTAAATAGTGTCTCAAATTTGATCATATAACATTGGAGTTAGCAGAATGCGAGATCAAATTTAATAATCTACTTATACACTAAATTGCCTAATGTACATGATTTAGAAATGTAGGGTATTAAAGAAAAATTCCCCAAGTACAGGGGAGTTCTTCGTAGAATTCCTATAGGTGTTTTGCTGGCACCAATTGATTAGCAGTTCCTTTTTTTTCCCTATCCCCCTGTATGAATTATATGAAACTTTCCCTTTAAATATAGCATTACCTGATATAAAATTCGTGTATCTATTTAACATACATGGAGTGTACGTGAACATATTGCATAGAATTTCATATTTTAATGCTACAGATTATTTGATAGGTAGTACATCAATTAATTGTTTACATGCAAAACCAACAAGATATAAAATATACAAAAAAGAAAGATTTGTCTTAAGATTGTTAGAAAAATTGGTACATAATTTATATTCCCCTAATAAAAAAATATTTGCATGAAAAGATGATAAAATCGCGACGTACACTTGCAAAATTCGAATAGAATCCAAAACAAGACGTGCATGAAATACGATCAGATCATGATTTACTGAAACATTGAAAATAGAAGGATATGAAATGAAGCGAGATATGCGAATGCAAATCTCTTCAAGAAAGATTCGCCTATTGCACTAATACTAACAAGAACAAATGAACGTATGTCTCTCAAGATACAACGCTTCTTCCAAGATTAATATAGTACAATATTAATTTTGTCCGATGAACCAAACCTTGACCATACTCTTCTAGAACGAAGGATATCGAATACTAAACATCGAACACGAAACTCAAAAAATAATTTGAAAATTATTTTGACATAATTTGAAGAAGGAAAGAATTAAAAATCAATTATATGGAAATGATTTGGAAATAAAAAGGTCTTATTTATAGATATCCATATGTCACTTCCTAACGGTCGCATCTTTTGGCAAAGTTAATTTCAACCATTAGATTACACATTTTCAAGATTGATGGTCTAAATTGCACCTTATCAAAGGGTCATGATTATTTATTATTTACCTTTTGCATTTAAAGAGCCGCATCCAATGAACGCACTTGCTGGAGACTTTTCCAATTCGCATATTTAATCGTTATGTAATCCTTAAATTCCAACAACTAGTCGTTGAAAGAGACGAGCCAAAGACAATTTATGTCACTTGCTACTAGAGAACGATAATTTCAAATTCAAAATATTTATTAAAGCTAATAGAGCCAAATTACTTTTAAAAACCTCGTTTTCGTCTACTTCAAGAGTTGCGCATAAATAAGAAAATTGTACACTAGGACAATCTTGGGAGCACATGCCAATTCATAGGAGGAGGTCAAATGTCATGAATAATTTAGTTTTCCTTGAATTCTAACATGATGTTTAAGATCAGACGAAAGACCAATTGAAGAACATGAAGCATAGGCAGTGAGCCTTTTCATCTTCGTCCAACACTTTCCACGCAACTGCTCTCTCGTAGGAGATTGGTCGACTCATACTTGACAATGCGATGCCACCTTGACGGCAGGCAAAGCCCTGCCAAAAGCATAAAACAAGACAATTGCTGAGTTGTTTTAGAGAAATAAGCATTTAAAAGTCTTTATGCGATGCCACCTTGAAGGCAGGCAAAACCCTGCCAAAAGCATAAAACAAGACAATTGCTGAGTTGTTTTAGAGAAATAAGCATTTAAAAGTGTTTGCATGACGACAGATCCGATCAACGACATCATTATGGTAAGCAAAGAATTAACAAGTTGTAATGTGCATTTGCTAGATCACATTCATTGACCAGTTGAACAATTGGGCTTCATCTCATTTTTTTAGTTAAAATGAGATCAATTTCCGATTTTTCAGGTCAAACCAACCCATGCACGAGGCACACCGATTTTCAAAAATGAAAGGAAAAGTTCACTCGGTCTACTTCAAGTGCAACTATATCCTATTTAGCACTATCTTTGTTCAATTATGGCCCAACATAGTCGAACATCAATACAAGTTTTTGTTTCTCCGTTTTAGAAAAGGGGAAGAATTCACAAATCAGGTTTTAAGTTTCACCAATTCAAAAATTAGGTATTAAGTTTTAAAAATGCAAAACTCAGTTATTTAGTTAATTAATTAAAAATATTTATTAATTAGGTCACAATTATATAATTAATGGTCACATATACAGAATTATATGTCACAATTTATTTATTGATCACATATTATCAAATTAATTAGTCAATGATGATTTCGAGGTCACAAATTCAAAAAATTATAGGTTACAGTTAATTTCATTGGTCACATATTTTCAAATTTGTTGGTCACAGATTATTTTTCAGTCACACATTGTCAAATTTTTAGGTCACAATTAAATAATTGGTCACAGATAACCAAATAATTTGCCACATACCACTGGCACTACCTATGCGATGCCACCTTGAAGGCAGGCGAAACCCTGCCAAAAGCATAAAACAAGACAATTACTGAGTTGTTTTAGAGAAATAAGCATTTAAAAGTGTTTGCATGACGACAGATCCGATCAACGACATCATTATGGTAAGCAAAGAATTAACAAGTTGTAATGTGCATTTGCAAGATCACATTCATTGACCAGTTGAACAATTGGGCTTCATCTCATTTTTTTAGTTAAAATGAGATCAATTTCCGATTTTTCAGGTCAAACCAACCCATGCACGAGGCACACCGATTTTCAAAAATAAAAGGAAAAGTTCACTCGGTCTACTTCAAGTGCAACTATATCCTATTTAGCACTATCTTTGTTCAATTATGGCCCAACATAGTCGAACACCAATACAAGTTTTTGTTTCTCCGTTTTAGAAAAGGGGAAGAATTTACAAATCAGGTTTTAAGTTTCACCAATTCAAAAATTAGGTATTAAGTTTTTAAAATGCAAAACTCAGTTATTTAGTTAATTAATTAAAAATATTTATTAATTAGGTCACAATTATACAATTAATAGTCACATATACATAATTATATGTCACAATTTATTTATTGATCACATATTATCAAATTAATTAGTCAATGATGATTTCGAGGTCACAAATTCAAAAAATTATAGGTCACAGTTAATTTCATTGGTCACATATTTTCAAATTTGTTGGTCACAGATTATTTTTCAGTCACATATTGTCAAATTTTTAGGTCACAGTTAAATACTTGGTCACAGATAACCAAATAATTGGTCACATNCCACATACCACTGGCACTACCACTTCAGCCACTTTTGATCACCCTCACCTCACCGTCGTCATCACCACCACGGCCTCACGACAACCAGTACAAACACCACCATCGCAACAACCACCACCACCACACAAAACACTACCACCATCGGCGCATCCAACCACACAACACACCACTACCACTGTCGCATCCAACCACATAAAACACCACCATCGCCGCCGGATGACTATCAACACCACTAAAAACAGATCCGCCAACACACAGCCACACACCAACAATAGATCGAACAATAATAAAACCTTAATCTTCATGCTCGTCGGAAACATGAATATTTCAAACTAGATCAGTAGATCTAGAGCAAAAATGCGGCAAAGAAGAACATCGCAGTAGCAGATCCAGTAATCGATACTCTATTCAAAGCAGCGCGGCGTTGGGTGAGGAGTTAGGAGCAGCACCACCAGGTGCGGTGGCGATAGATGGAGGATTAGCTGCAGGTGCACCGGCGGGAGAAGTGAGAGGTGCAGGAGGAGAAGACAATGGAGATTCAGAGGGTGATGAACTTGTAGAGAGAGACGAGGGAGAGAAGGAGAAGGAGGGAGAATAGAGGTGAATTAGGGTTTTAATATATTACCTGATTTTTTAATAAATAAATTGTAGACCTGATTTTTAAAATTCAATCTTTAAACACCTGATTTTTTGTAATTTCCCTTAGAAAAGCTCCTCACGAATTTGAACAAGGGCTTCTACATGTACTTAATAGGTAATTTATCTATGCTAAACCGAAATGAGACTTCGCATTCGCTTCCGAGCCTAAATGTACGTTTTGTGATCGCATATTTTGAAGTCTGGCCTTTCAAAATAAATATATTAACTTGCTAGTAGGTACGCGATAAAGGAAATGAGTTTAAAAAGAAAATCAAACCTAACAAAGTTTAATAGAGCGATTAATGAATAGTTAAGTATATTCGAAGCATAATACCTGCTGCATAATCTGTGGAAGCTCGACGAAGAGTGCCTTTCTACCGTTGTCATTGAAAATCTTCTCCAGTGTAATGTCTTGAAGTGCCACTAAAGTAGTCTCGAGCATATCAAGTCCTGCCTGATTTGTAAATGTGAAAGCTGGTAATGCCTGCATGCGTCACGAGCTATGAGAAGTTGTAACTCTACGAATGAAAATACATGTCCATTTTCTACAATATGCAATATTTGCATGCTGTTACTTTTCCTAGCAAGCCTCAAAACAAAGAATAAATATACGATACAAATACTGAAACAATCACATTTTATCGAACCCACAACTATTAGGCATGAGAACACTAGTTCACAAAATTCATCGGAGCTTTGCATGTTGGGGGTAAAAATAACTCTTTTTGGACATTCTATTTTTAACAACAAATTATTGCAATATAACTTATAATAAGCAAGACAAAATGTAAAAAAATATGAAAAATAAATTCATTCATCATTCCGATCAATGACAAATGCATAGATTTGCAAGGAAAGAAACAATCAAACATTACCTTCAATGAGCAGCACATCACAGCATCAGAATGATGCCAAAGAGCTTTCACAATCGATTCACTTCCTTCGCTGCCGGGTTTGAGTAGCTCCACACCGAAGAAAAATCTGCAAAACAAGATGATAAGTCGGCAAGGAAAATGATATTATGAGTACATTATATAACATTCTGCGTTGGAATGACAAAGATACAAATAAAAAGTAAAAACACAGTAGCTCACAATTTGAAACAAATAAAAATATAACAAGTTTCAAATATTGAAAAAATGTCCAAAATGTAAAGAGAGAATTGCGGGGTAGGATCAATTAATTAATTACCTATAGCTTTGACAAATCCAAAGCGCAAGTGTCTGCGCTTCTGTTGTACCAGGAGGTGGCTGCAAACCAACCTGAGGGCCAAGATTAGATGGGGAGAGTGCTAATGCCACCCTCTGAACCGATGAAATGATACTGCGAACATATTGTCTAGCCATAGCTGCTATATTTTGTTGAAGATGAATCTCAAATGCAAATTGAAATGCTATTGTCATGATTGATTTTCCACTGCCTAAGTGCCTAGAACAATCACCAGACGCTTTGTTTCCTACCAGTCCAACTTCAAGAGTCGATGCCAAGTCCAGCGTACGATTCGGACTAGAAGTATCCTACATTATTTTTTGATAGTTTATCAGCCAAGACTCATTCAATGTCGACCAACTATAGCATACCAAACAACACTTACTGCTTTAGAATCAAGAGGAATTATGCGAAAACCAGACGGAAGGAGGAGTGCATCATCAGAGAATGAGGCATCTATTGGCGCAAATATTAATTCTGCGCAGCTGCCAACAGCTTTTTCGTCCACTCCACTGCAGAGCTGAGCAACCGATATTACAACGATTATTTACTATATTTTAAATACATGCATGGTAAGCCAGATACAGTAGGATGTTACTTTAGATTGTCCAAATCTGGTGAAACATCAAATTAACTATGTTTTTAGCATGGTGTTATTGGATTTAACCTGAATCCCCGACTCCGTGAGCTAATAATAAGCAAAATCTGTACACGAAAATCAGTGCGTGGACTACCCAATGTGCAAAATATTTGGAGAAGGGAAAAGTGTATAGTATAATTAGGCAACACAGTCAGTCCAACACATGGTTGCAGCTGGATTTATAATGACAAAACATGGACTTGGCAGCACAGATAAGTCCTAGATGCATGAATTTCACTCAGAGACCTACAACTTACTTGCAAAAAGAAGATGTCTCTGGGCATAATCGTGTCTTCTCGAAAATGACTAACATTTTCCAGCCGAACCACTTCCATGAACTGTTTTAAACGAACAAAAAGATAAAGCATCATCAAACAGATGATCCCACAGTTGATATCAAATATAATACAATGATCTTCAGCTGACAAATATTCTACTATGTAAAACCAAGTTACTCGCCTCCTCGTGCTCAATAGTGTGAGCCAATGGAAGAATAACCTGCCCACCAAAATATCCAGCTCGAGCCACAGGTAAACTACAAGGACCAGCTGTAAAAGCAGCAGATAAATAGGCATCGATTCCATTGTCAGCCCACTCTGATCGGTGTTCCCTCAGAAACCGTAAAAGTATAGCAGGAGGAACATTCTTGACAAAAGAAGAAATAGAATAATGATAAGTAATGATATATGACCAAAAAGAATATCAATCATTCTATTAAAAATAAGTGAAGAATTCTATAATTAAGCCTTTGAACCATCAACCATTAATGTTAATTTGAAGCCCTTCCTTCACAAGTTGTCAACTTAAATACATAATTTTCTTATTATTCCAAACAAAAGCCTTGATAAATCACAGTATTTTCAGAGTCAGTCATATTCTAATTAAGCTAACACGTGATTGATTAAGGCATTATTCATCCACTATGAAGCAACTGACAGAAAGTAAAATGTTAACACCAATTGACACAGTAATTGCAGTGCTGGCTCATAATTAACACATGATAATAAGCAAGTTTTGCACGGAAGTGAATCTCGTACTTGTAAAATCATGGAAGCCTTAGCACAGAGAACCGAAGTGATCATGGATGGAAATCCATTAGCATAAGTAAGATCAAGGCCCATCAATTTTCCTGGGGACGAGTTCACAAGAACAGCAACATCATCGATGCCATCACTTTCAATCATAGACCAAGCTTCGTCCATGAACCCATTTACACCTTCATTAAAACCTCTGCACAATAAGATAAGTAAACTTTCGGTATGTAGTATAGGATAGGTTTTTGATCAGAAATTATCTATAACTAAGAAATATCACTAAATTGTAAAATCCCACTAGATAGGGATATGGCTAAGCTGAGCGAAAAAGGTTTTCCATTTACCGGCTCAATCTTTGACCAAGAGCTCGCAAAGCGGCCGGTCTTCTGCCCCAGCTGGTGACATTCGGTTGAGAAACTTCCTGGGAAATCTGCCTCAACTGGTACAAAGCCTGGATAAAAGATTTCCGTCATTTCGGACTAGATAGGTTGAAAATAAACCATATTTATTTTTATTGGGCAATGTTCCAAGTTATGGACAAACAACTTATGCAATGTGAAAATCATGGGAGAATTGTTCTTCACAGTCCTACCGCTAACGTTGTCCTCTGAGCAAGCAATGTTGATGACTCATAGAGTGGACGCAACACTTCAGGTACACTCCCAGGCTGAAAATACAAAATACAGAAGTGATAAGGCATCGAACTCAAGGAATTGGTCATCAAATATAATTAAAAGTTTGGCTAGCATACCTCTAAATCAATATGGTCAACTATATGAATAATGGATCCACCCCCTTCACATGGTCTTATTAGGTATCCACTTGGCAGCACTTTCGCTCTCACAAAATCCTTCACCGGTGGCATGCTAGGACCATTCCGAGTGTTGTTAAGCGACTGTTCACATATCTATATGGAGAAAAAATATATCATAAATTCGATAATGCGTGGAAAAAAAAATTTGAGATTTTCCCTCTATTTTTTACCACGAGGCTACCATCTTCCAAAACAGACGTATAGCGAAGTAACCAAAAGTCACAAGCTGGTGCCAAAGTAGTAGGAGCATAGAGCTGAATCAATTAAAAAAATAACTCTCAATTAAAATGTTGACCAGATAGTTGATAACATATGACTGCCACAAAAGGATAAAATTCAACCTGCATGTATAGCAATTCAATGGTTCCACCATTTCCAGTAGACAATACATTGAGGACATCAAAAGCTCGGCAATCACGATACCATGAGAGCCTGTCTTTTAGAATTTCAGCAACCTGGATCAATGGTCATAAGTTAATATTATTTTGATACTATAAACTAAATATAACAGAGATAAAAATACTAAAGGGATGATAGAACTTTAATAACTGTTCCGTATGTATGAGATTAAAAGGAGAAAGACCATATTTATAGGGTAAAAAATAATTATGGAAGTAAAGAATCAATGACGAATATGCAACCAAACGATCTAGAAAATAATATCAGAGAAGTGAGAAAATTTTATCGAATGAATATTATGACAAGCTTACCCTTGTAGGTTCTAGAGCCACAAGGCCGCACGCACGTGATGCTACACCAGTGCAACAATGAGAAATGGTAATGATTCCGACGGAATCCGGACCAGGCTGCACATCAAAAGAACTAACAATTTGAGGACGACGGAGTACATAACTAAAAAATACAAACAACAACAATAAATGAAGCGATTTTTCAATTCGTCAAGATTTTTTCTCGCACATTTTATTTTCTTTAAAAAAAATGGATATAATGACGTTATCATAACCTTCATCCCAGGCATTTGGACCCACTCCACAGCAGTTCCAGTGGCCTTTGATAGAAACTCTGTTAAGGTTTCTTCTGCAATGGACAAAAGTCTGGAAAAAACATACAAAAAACAGTATGCAACGTTAAGAACAATAGAGTAATAGACCTAAAGAACAAGAAACATTCTCCACTAACCCTGCAGGACTTGCATCCCTTGGGGGATGCTGAGAAGTTAAGTGTTGTTGACCACTAGTGACCACCGATTCACAACTATTATCCCTAGTGGCAAGGGTTGTTGCCTGCATCAAAGGGGAAAAACAAACCTATTAAGAAAATGAAACAAAGAATTTCTAGAACAAGCATTGAAGGTATCAAAGTGCTGGTTGCAAAACAAGAGCAACATTTATACACTCCAGCACCAAATATGTCTGATATTGTTCAAAAAATTACCAATTCAAAAAAAATTAAAGAACGAAAGAATATCAGTTTCAAGCCAAGCGCATGTGTTGACTAAGCTTCAGAAAAATGTTAAAAAAGTTTCTTGCTTTGAAATTAACTCTTACCTTACCTTACCTTCAACATAGTTTTCCATTTTTTTATTTTTATTTTTTCCCAGTTTCCAGACCTTTCATCCATAAAGAAACTATTATTTTAAAACTTAGAAGTAAATTTACTTGTAAGCAAGGATCGTTTTTCTCCACTCCATTCAGTTCGTTGTTAGATCTACCGGAAGATAGAACAAAGAGTTGCCTCTAAATGACTATTTACATCCTTAATGCAATAAAGCCTCGTGAGTCTATTATTTCCCTTCCTGCTATATTCTCTACAGCCAAAAAGATTAAACTAAATGCTTCCTCCTCCCATGCGCAGAAAAAAAAGGGAAAGAAATTTTCTTTACATTTTGTGTGTGTTGGCGGAAATAGCTATTCTCGTATACTAAGTGTGAAACTTGCTTCTGCAACCTATCATTCTCCTCCATCAACAGTTTATTCATTGCAGTCAACTTCCTATTCACAGCTTGAAGCCGTGATGACTCTTTTCGCTGCTTTTCCCGGCATCTGGATTAAAGAAAAAAACATGTTAATAAATCTCGAGAATTAATGAAGTGATCCATAAAATTTTGGTCAATCACCAAATACAGATAACTCCCACATTAAATTAAAGTAAAACCACTGTAAATAAAGCAAACACAAATCTTTCAAGCAAAGAAAACGTAAATTTATAGTGTTTCAGTATCAACATGAAGCTAAGTTTACTCGCTATTGCACGTTTTCAGATTAAACTATAATCACGAAGCCACGCCTCTCGGTCTGTGTCTCACACAAAACGGCCCTCAGACTTTAGTGTGACATACTACAAAAATGAATGGACCATTGAATAAAACATCACCAATATAACCTTTACTTTGGGAAAGCCGATCTCAAGTCGAGGGATAAATCTACTCTATGATTAAACTCAATATATTCGAACTCGAACAAGACATAACTAGTATGATTAAGCTCAACGTAGTCACACACGAACGAGCCATATAATTTTATACCTTCGATTCTGAAACCAAACTTTGATCTGCTTCGGCTCGATGTTCGAAAGGATAGGGCACTCCCGGATCAACTGCTGCCGGCGCAATGAACTCGGCTTAGGACACTCATGGTACACCCTTTCCAAAGCCTCAACCTGCTCAGGAGTATACCGCACGTACTTGCCATTATCCATCACCATGTTGCCATCGTCTTTACAGGTCGAAGTCACCACCATCATCACTTCAAGAGATCAAGATTCACTCAAGAAAATTAAAAAAAAAAAAAAAAGACTTTTCTCTTCTTGTTTTACATGAATATTCCAAAATCATCAGAACCCAGATTTCAAATTTCTAATACTAAATCAAGAAATTCTGTTGATAAGTCTTTGGTCTTAGCAAGAAATGAAACCCAATCTTGAACTTTTCCTAAACTTCTTCATCTGCTAATACTTTAAGAAAAGTATACAATTTTTCCACGCAGATTCTCAGAAAATCATAAACCGATGTGATCATGTAGCTCTAAGCTACAAGTGTGTAGTATATCTGTATATGTCTTGTAAAAAAAAACGAGAAATCTAAAGAAAACAAACACTAATATATGCATACATGCGTGTATCACTGTGTATCTGCGACGTTGGTTGGAGGCAAAAGTTGTCGACTTGTTCCTTCAAAAGAACGCAGCGTCAAGCACTAAACACTGATCTTCCATTATCGGATCACGCGGAGTTGTACAGTTCCAATACAGCGAATTTTTCCCAAGAATACTCCACAAAACAAAACCCTTTTCTCTCTGTATTCAAAACTCAACAGGCTGCAAATAATTCGAGTATATGGGCTTAATATTATCAATCATCGAGAATGTTCTCCTGCCCAAGGTGGGCAGGATAAGACTGCCCACCTGCTGATGTGGCAGGAGAACCCTATGCGGGGTTCTCTCCAAATGTGAGAACCCCACATTGGGTTCTCTCCGAGTGAGCAGGATAAGATTGTCCGTCGCGGGCAGGAGAACAGGACTGTATCAATCATGCTATGTATCCAATCTTTGTTGACAATATTGGTTGACTACTACAAACTTAACATCATCATATTCATCCATTACAAACTTAGCATCATCATATCCATTTTAAAAATTATTAAAAACTAGTTTTTATATCAATGATTCGAATTTTGACAATACATGATTATCAATCATGATTGTACAACTGACTTTATAGTAAAATTATTTGTATGTATAGGTTGAAGTGAAAGGGAATAGATAAGATTGATAGGTACTTGTTTGTGTGTTTAGGATGAAAACGAAAGGAGGGGACAGCAATCAGAAGTGGAGACCATTTTTGAGAGTATACCAGTCGGATGTTCCGCTGTTGCCTTTGCTTTTTTGCTTTTGCTTTGGTTTTGGTATTGTTTATTGTTTTCCATGTATAATCCGTCCATTTTGAAAGATTCACCTTAGTTTTTTTATTCTATCATTATTGAAGGCGTGTTTGTAAGATAAATTAGATAATGTTAAAATAAGATATACTTTTTTCTCTTCTTTCATATTGTTTAAAATGGACAATAAATTTAACTATCACACATTGACAATTAGCTCTTGTTGACAAATGACATGAAAGCTTCCTTTATTTATATTAATTTCACGTTTGGATCGGTACTTTGATCTGGACATCCCTACATGATTGGAGATGGAAAGATTGTTTCTCCCTTCAAGGTTCAGCATAACGCTGAATTTGCAGTTCAATAACATTCACAATTGTAGGCATGTACTACACTGCCACACACATAGATCAACATTGTACCCTTAAGAAATCAATGTTGGAATTTAGTTAGAGAATGAAAATAATTATGAAAAAATGACTTTCGTGTGAATTTCGATCAAATATTCGAATTTGATCCTATAGTCAAATTATGAATATAAATAGATTAACTTATTTTACTCGTCAAGTAGACCGTCGTGGTATATTTGGAATCTCAAAACCAATTTTGGATAAATGAGAAATAACGGTCCAAAGTTGGATAGAAAAGAGGATATACGACATGAAAAATGTCTAACTCTTATCACTCGCTTATCGCTCGAGCGACAGGTGACCGAGAAAAATTCTAATGAAAATGTATTGTTGTCGCTCGAGCGAGAGCCTAACGACAGCAAATGCTACGACCTTTGACAAATGTTGCTGAAATTGGGGCTTAGCATTTCACTCATAACATTTCCTCTTTTTATTTGGACGTTCATTAAGCATTTCATATCATTTGCATTGAGCATTACATCAAAAATTCTAGCAAAATACTTTTCAAAAGTCATTTTAAAATTATTTTCTTGTTGAGAGAAAATTTCGTTCTAAGTTCGCTATTACTTATGGTTTGAAGTGTTTCTATCACAAGTTATATCCTCGAATTTCGTTTTCACTTTGTTTTTCTTCTTCTTATATTCTTTCTTTCCATTTTCTAGATTTTAATTATGCTCCTGCAAATTAAACTTAAATATTTTCTTTGCCTTAACAACCATTTATAAATACTTACGTCCCAACAAACTTAAGACAATATCCGTTTGTTTGTGATTATTACATCCTTTCTTCATCTTTGGAATAAATCTTTGTGTGCTATTCCTTTCTTTAATTATTTTATACAATGAACTTCTGTTTATAACAAAAATAAATCATGTTGAGACTACTTTGAGTCAAACAACAAATGGTACGAACCATGTGGTTCCACCTTTGGCCGTACCTATATCAAACTCTCACATCAGACATGGGAAAAAATCGAAAAAGTTTAGAAGTGTGGATTTTAAAAGATGGCAATAAAAGACATTATTTTTTCTTATTACTTTGAATTTGGTAAAGTTCCTAAAAGAAAGAGCTCTAACTATACAAGAAAGATAAACTAATCGTAAGTCGATTATTGTATTTGATGCATGGAAGTATTAGAATTTTATTTGTAAAAATGATATCCCAAATGGATTGTACAATGCACTTTATGGAGTGTATAATTCAATGGACTCAATCAAGGATCTATGGGATTCGTTGGAAAATAAGTACAAGATTGATGATGCTGGAACAAAGTTCATTGTTGACAAGTTTTTGGACTACAAAATGGTATACCCCAAAACTGTGATAAGTCAAGTACGAGAACTTTAAGTTATACTTCATGATATACATGTTGAAAAGATGGAATTAAGTGAGCCCCTCCAAGTTACAGCCATCATTAAGAAACTCCCTCCTATGTGGAGAGATTTCAAGAACTATCTCAAACACAAATACAAAGAGATAAATTTGGAGGAATTTATAGTTCGTTTGAGGATCGAGGAAGACAATAGAAATACCGAAAGGAAATCTATTATTCAATTCGAGGCAAATTTTATTGAAACTGGTTCGAAGGTTGTCAACAAGAAACGTAAAATCTCCGGTGATGTATCAAAAAGAGATAACTCCAAGAATGTCAAGAAGTTTAAAGGTAACTGTTACAATTGTAGAAAAGTCGGACATCACTCTAATGAGTGTCGAAAACCTAAGAAGACACACAAGCAAATGTGGTTAAAAGATATACCATTTCTGAAGGAATACAATAGATGAATCTTTCAGCGGTTGTTTCTGAATGTAGCAATGTTGGAAATTCAAGAAAATTGTGGGTTGATACTGGTGGGTTGTTACTAGTGCTACCTGCTATTTGTGCTGACAAAACTATGTTCTCTAATTACAAAGAGTTAATTGGAGAACAAATTTTTATGACAAATTCAGCAAGTTTTAAAGTTAAAGGATAAGGGAAAGTTACTTTAAAGATGACATTCGGTAAAGAACTCGTCCTAAACAATGCCCTACATGTATTGGATATTCACAAGAATCTTGTATTCGGGACTCTACTTAGTAAAAATGACTTTAAACTTGTATTCGTATCCGATAAATTTGTACTCACTAAAATGACATGTATATTGGTAAATGATACTTATGTGTTGAAGCAAAGTTGACCAAAATACCTTTTTACTCAATTTAAAGGAACACACCACTTTTAGAGTTAATACATATTGATATATGTAATTTGAAGTTTCTTCAAACTAAAAGTGGTAAGAAATACTGTATAGCTTTCATTGATGATTGTACAAAATACTGTTATGTCTTTCTACTATGAAGTAAAGACGAAGCCTTAGATGTCTTTAAACATTATAAGACGGCAGTTGAAAATCAACTTGGTAAATGAATAAAAAGTATTCGTAGTGATGGATGTGGTGAATACAGGGCACTGTTTGAAGAATATTGTTCCAAGCATAAAATCATTCATCAAACAATGGCACCTTACTTACCTCAATCAAATGGTGTTGCTGAATGCAAAAATCGAACTCTTAAAAAGATGATGAACTCAATGTTGATAAGTTCGGGCCTACCTCAGAATTTGTGGGAAGAAGCTATGCTATCAACAAATAGCATTTTTAACAAGATACCCTTTAAGNAAGACGATTGATTTCATATTTATTAAATACTCCATTAATAGTAGTGCATATAGTTTCCTTGTACATAGATCTGAAATTGAAGATGTACATGAATGAACAATAATTAAATCGAGAAATGCATCATTTTTTGAAAATATTTTTTCCAAATAAAAATAAGGAAAATGTAAGTTTAAGTAAAAGAACTTATGATACTATAAATGACACTTCAAATGAAGAAGAACCAATGCATTGTAAAAGGGCTAGAATTTCCACTTCGCTTGACCCATATTTTCTAACCTATATGGTAGAAAATGAACAAAAGACTTTCAATGACTCAATGTTTACACCGAAAGCAACGCATTGGAAAGACGCTATCAATAGTGAGATAGATTCTATAATGCAAAATCATACTTGAGAATTAGTTGATTTACCTCTTGGTAATAAGCCTTTAGAGTGTAAATGAATTTTCAAAAGGAAACTTAAACCAGATAGATCCATTGACAAATATAAGGTTAGATTGGTTGCCAATGGATTTAGACAAAAAAAATGACTTGACTTCTTTGATAATTACTCACTCGTAACTAAAATCACCTCGATAAGGTTGTTAATTGCTATTGTAGCATTACATAACCATGAGATTCATCAAATGGATTTAAAGACGGCATTCCTAAATGGTGAGTTAGAAGATGAGATATATATGGAATAACCGGAAGGGTTCGTTTATCCTAATCACAAACAAAAGGTTTATAAATTAGTTAAGTTCTTGTGTGGATTGAAATAAACTCCTAAACAATGGCATCAAAAGTTTGACAAAGTAATGTTGTCTAATGACTTTAAGATAAATGAGTGTGACAAATGTATATACATTAAACATACACCAAAGGCCTATGTGATTGTATGTTTATATGTAGACGACATGTTGGTAGTGGTCAATAATCACGAAATAATGCTAAACACCAAGAAAATGTTAATAAAATATTTTGATATGAAAGGCTTGGGTATGACTGGTTAATATTAGGAATTAAAATCTCTAGAATATCAGAAGAAATTATACTTTCTCAATCTCACTACATTAAGAATATAATTTAAAAAGGTATACTGTACTCGAGCAAAGTCCTATGAATACCCCTAATGACACAAGTTTACATTTAGTCACAAATACGGGTGAATGTGTGTCACAACTAAAGTATTCACATGTTATAAGCAGTCTTATGTATATTACAAACTGCACTCGACTGGACATAAATATTTGTTGTGATTACATTTAGTAGATTCACAAGTAATCCAAGTCATGATCATTGGAAAGCTTTAACAAGAATTTTTAGGTACTTGAAGTATACTTTAACATATGGATTACACTTCACAAAATATCCTACGGTATTAGAAGGATATTGTAATGTGAATTGGATATCCAATATAAAAGATTTTAAATCTACTAGTGGTTATGTATTTATTATTGGTAGAGCTGTTATATCATGGAAATCCACGAAGAAAATGTGTATAGATCGATCAACAATGGAATCAGAGTTTATTGCTTTGGACAAATCTGGAAAAGAAATTGAATGACTTCGTTACTTTTTGGAAGATATTCAATGTTGGTGTAAGCCGGTACCTACAATTAGTATAAATTGTGATAGTCAATAGGCTATTGGAAGAGCTCAAAACAACATATATAATTGTAAGTCTAGACATTTACGTCTTAGACACAATACCATTAAGCAGTTGATCTCTAATGATATCATCTCCATAGATTATGTGAAATCAAAGAAAAATATCGCGGATCCACTTACTAGAGGTTTATCGAGAGATCAAGTACGTTGTCTATCGAAAAGAATGGGATTAAAGCTTACTATGTAAGGATCTTTGTAATGATAACCCTACTTTGTTAATTGGAGATCCCAAGATCTTGTTTCAATGGACAACTAAATTATGAAGATTCAATGAAACACTTGGGAAAATGTTTCCTAACTCATTCATATTATAATTAAAGTGTTTTCTGTAGAATATTAAGGTTAAGATATCATTTTAATGATTCATATATCTTGATGAAATCAAGTGGAGTAGGGTCAAATGCTTTTAATAGGAGGTCACCTAAATAAGTGTGAGGTGGGGCCACCTCAATGAAAATTGTTCAAATACAGAAATGTTTTAAACACTTATGAAATCCAAAAGTTGTTTAGTGCAAAAAATGAACCAAGTCATGAAAATCATGAATGATTTAGGAAAGACATGTGTGAATATTATTGTCTTGGTTTACACCAACGGATGAATGGTTAACTCTATCGCTTGCCCATCGCTAG